GTGATCTGTAGGAGCAGTTCCACATGTAGATGTATTTTTGATGTAACTATGGGGAGGAAGGTGATCTCCACGTCTTACTCCTCCGCCATCTTGAAGGTCTCCGGTTGTGGAGTCTTAATCACTGTGCCACCAGGGAAGTCTGTAGGGGGCCAGGTTTTAGCTACAGCCCTGGTATGGGGGGTGGAGGACAGCTTCATGCATGGCCCCCTAAGGCTCACCAAAGCAGTCCTGTGGATATTCCAAGGACCACTGTCATCTCTTTAAGTGAAAAGATGAAGCTCAGCTGCAGGGAACCTTAGCATAGTGGTTCTAGAAGGTTGCCTCTGACTGATGCTGCTCTTTATTCCTGACTGCTCTGGTGGGGTGACCAGGAACCTAAGCTGTGCCACCCAGGGTGTGTGGTGGCTGAGCTGGAGGCTCTCAGCCACCCTCTCAGTTCCTATCCTGTGTCCTCTGAGGGAAAAGCGTGGTGGAGAGATGGCTGTTGTTCCTTGGCCTGTCCTCAGTTTTTTCAGAACACAGTTGGCCCTCCATGTCTGAGGGTTCCACATTCGCAGATCCAACCAACAGTGGTTTGAAAGTGTTCAGGGGAAAAAATTTCAGAAAGTTCCAAGAAGCCAAACTTGAATTTGCTGCACCAGCAACTATTCACATAGTATTTTCATTGTATTTACAACTATTTCCATAGCATTTACATTGTATTAGGGATTACCTGTAATCTAGAAACGATTCAAAGTATGTGGGAGGACATGCATAGGTTATACACAAATACTTTGCCATTTTATATAAAGAACTTGGGTACCTGCAGATTCTGGTATTCCTGGGTTGGGGGGGTGTTGTCCAATCACCACCACCCCCCTACTAAGGAACAGCTGTATTCCAAATTGAGTGGAATTTAGTAAGGTTTGGTTCCACTTTCACTTACTAGACCACATGAGACAAGAATGTGACTGTGATAGAAATAAAATAACATATCAAGTTGGACATCTGAGTTTCACCAGGAGCTGCATTGTTGAATATTTATCTCCATCCACATTGCCACAGTATATCAAGGGAACAATTATATATAATGAGTATTATAAAATAAATTTTTACATTGTAATTTTTCTGCTTTTGAATTATATTTTACCTTATTATTATCTTTAATATGTCAGTGCAAGGCTGCCAACTATGCTTTTTTGGGAAAGGAAAGGTTGCCCTTTTCCAAGCAAGATGGTAGCTTGCTTACATTTTTTGGTGCTAAATGTCCTTTCTCCTATGAAATCATGCTGGCTAGGTAGTAGTAGATTGATGTCCTCACTTGGCAAAATAAGAAAAAGAATTCATGAAAGTTTGTTATTCCTTGCTTCCACGTCACCTATTTTTGGATAATTTATCAGAGCATAAATTCTCAAGCCTGGAGAAATATAGCCTTAGATATCACACAGTCCATCCCTTCATTTTGCAGAAGTTGAAACTGGCCCAGACAATGGAGTGACTTGTTCAAGATCACACAGATAGTAAATGGAAAACTAGAGAGAGTTCCCTGGTGGTCCAGTGGCTAGGACCCAGCGCTTTCACTGTTGGGGCCCGGGTTCAATCTCTGGTCAGGGAACTAAGATCTTACAAGCTGTGAGGTGTGGTCAAAAAACAAAACTAGAAACAAAACTAAACCAAGTGAGTTAACTTCTTTCCATCTTTCTAAGCTGCTAAAAAGCGCTTTATTACCAAGAGCAAAGGAAGGATGTTGCACAGGTGCTGGCTTAATTGTGAGGCTCTCATGTATAATAGATGTTATTTTTATTGATGTATTATTGATGGGGTATTTTCTGTATCCACTGAATGGCAAGGACTACTAGTCTCCTGTGCTTCTTGCCACATCTATGCGTACACATGAGTATGTTGTACTGATTACATAGCATGTAAATAACAAGGAAGTGTGGCTGAAGCACTTGAAATAGGCTTGAGGTGGTTATTTGGGTGAAAAATCTAACAATTCAGAAACTAACAGTAAGGGAGTCAAGAATCTTCTTATGAAATCTCCTGGGCTCGGGAGAGAACTCCCACAGTCAAATTCCAGTTTTTACCAAAATAGGAACCCTCACTTCTATATTAGTTAGCAGTTTTAGCCTTTCCAAGACAGTGTTTGGGTAAATATTGGGCACAGTCCATTAGCAATGAACAGGTGACACTGTGGTGGGAGGTTAGGGAATTGAGAGAAGCAGAAGCAAGACCTATGGCTGGGCTGAGTGGCTGGGGTGTGGGATGGGTATAGCAATCCCAGAAGCCATGTATTTCAAAACCAGTGTTGGATGCACAGGGCAGCTTCAGGTGAACTCCAAGTTCAGCCCTGGCACTCTCCATCTCCACACCATGTTCTATTATTTCACTGCCTGTTGTCCCATTTAAGAACTATTTTAAACTCACATTTAAAAAGCTTGCACCTGAGAGGTGCCAGGCTCCAAAAATACGTAGAAGTAGACTTCAATGAATGAAACACAATCTCCATCCCCTACAAACTGGACATCACTAGATGTCTCCGGACAGACAACCATTTGGACTTTCCAACCTCATCAATCCAGGGCATCCAATTACTAGGAGTACATACCACTGCCACTCTTGTGGGATATTTATGGACAGTTGACCCGTGAACAACTCAGGGGTTGGATATGTCAACCTCCTCACAATCAAAAATCCACGTATACAGGAGCCGTCTGCTACCCGGCGACCAGGACTGGCCTGCTAGGGAACATGAGTCCAGGCGGGCTGGGGTTAGAGTGATCATTACTGAGACCTGTTGAAGGGCAAGCGTCGTGGCCAGGCTTAAAATGACTTAGGCCAAAAATGGCTTTTCTTATGTCAAGAAAGCCACGCCCAGGGGCTTCCCTGGTGGCGCAGTGGTTGAGAATCTGCCTGCCAATGCAGGGGACACGGGTTTGAGCCCTGGTCTGGGAAGATCCCACATGCCGCGGAGCAACTGGGCCCGTGAGCCACAACTACTGAGCCTGCATGTCTGGAGCCTGTGCTCCACAACAAGAGAGGCCGCGATACTGAGAGGCCCGCGCACCGCGATGAAGAGTGGCCCCCGCTTGCTGCAACTAGAGAAAGCCCTCGCACAGAAACGAAGACCCAACACAGCCAAAAATAAATAAATTCAAAAAAAAAAAATCCACGTATAACTTTACTCAGCCCTCTATATCCACCATTCTGCATTCTCAGATTAAAACAACCTTGGATTGTGTAGTACTGCAGTATGAATTTAGTGAAAGAAATCCGAGTATAAATAAACACATGCAGTTAAAACTTGTGTTGTTTAAGGGTCAACTGTACTTTATTCTCGCAGTAAGTGCAAGGCTTTCCTCAACAGCAGTGTGAATTTGCTTAGGAGGAGCAGAACAGATGAAGATGGCAAACAGCAAATCCAAAATGAGTACTTTTAATTTTATTATACTTTTTTTAACCCTAAGAAAAATATGTTGTTGAGTCCTTTTTTCATAACTGGTATGTGTTTACTATATTTAAATTATTTCACTACTAAATACGGTACATTTTGGATTCTAAAAGAGTGAAATGTTTCAGGACTTCTCACTCATTTATTTAATTCAATATTTTGATTATCTTCTATGTGACAGGGTAGTCTTTTTCTACTATTTTTTAAACTTTGCTCCTTTTTGGTAAATGCCAAGGCTGGTGTGTCAGAATACACAACCCTTGCCCAGTTCTCTTGGAATCACTCTTGTCACTAACCCCTAGTAGAAACTTCGAAGCTTCATTTTACATAGAATCTCACGTAAAGGTTTTGTTTTCAATTTTTCTTCCCCCAAACATACAAGCGATTTATCATATTGCCTGTGCTATTTTGAATTTACGCCCGGTGCATTTATTGTCTGCTCCAGCCCTTACCTCTCAGTGGAAATTCAGTCGTCTAGGTCTGGGGTCGGCAAACTTGCTCTGCAAAGTGCTAGATGGTAAATGTTTCTGGCTTTGCGGGCAGCTGCTGAACTCTGCTGTTAGGAAGTGAAAGCGGCCGCAGACAATACATAAGCAAATGACCGTGGCTCTGTTCTAATAAAACTTTATGGACATTGAAATTTGAATTTCATATAATTTTCACGTGCCACAAAATCTGCTTCCTTTGATTTCTTTTAAGCCATTAAAATAAACTTGAAAACCATTCTTAGGCTGTACAATAACAGGCAGCAGGAGGGCCGCAGTTAGTCAACCTCAACGCTAGAGGAGTCAAGCTGTCTCCTCTGGCAGGGATCAACACCTGACCCTGACCTCAGTGACTTCTCCCAACCACCTGTCCGGTCTCTAGAAGGCAGACTCCCGTTTTCAGGATTATAAGGGGGCGTGAGGGCACTACACCATCACGAGTGCACGTCCTCCTTGGCAGGCCACTTATCAGCCCATTTAGGGTGGTAGGAGTCCCCAAAGGGCTTGCAAGACACAACGGGGCTCGGGCTCCAGCGCAGGAACACTCTGGAAACAGCTGCAGGCCCCAGGGAGTCTGCGCGGCGGGGCGTCAGACAGGTACTCACCGGGCGCCAGTTCGAATGCTCCCAAGCAAAGCGGTACAGGCGATTGCCAAGCGCGCCTGTCACTAACCCGCCGCAACCCCCGAAGCCCGTTAACCGAGAGGCCCACGGCCCCTTCTCCCGTGCCCCTCTCGGGTGAGAGGCGGCGCAGGATAGAGGCGGTCAACTTAGGGCTCTGCCCCACCCTGAGCGGACGCAGCGCCCGGCTCCGGCCGGCGTTGGATGGGGCGGGGCTCCGGCGAGCGTGGTTGCGCGCGCGCGCTCCTGCACAGTCCAGCCCTTTCCCGTCCGGGGCGCGCGCGGCCAGGCCGGCCCCAGCACGAGACTGCGGCGCCCCCGTTCGGCTCCCGCTGGTTCGGCCGCCGCGCGCGCCGCCGTGCGCGCCGCCCGCGCTCCTACAGCGGTGAAGCTGGCAGCCGGGGAGCCAATTAGCGCTCCGCGAGGCAGCGGCTACTTCCTCGTCTGCCAGGCTGCGCGCTCCGGACAGCTCTGTCGGCCGCGGGGCGGGGCAGGGCACTTCGCCGAGCTTCTCTGCTTGCCTCTGCTCGTCCGACTGACCAGGGTGGACGCAGGTCCTTGAAGGCGCACCACTGCAAACCAGACATAAAGAAACTCTGAGGCGCCTGGAGTGCCGGCTGGAGGGGCGTTCGGTTGGCTTTTCGTGCGTGGTCTTTAGAATCAGCCTCTCCAGGAAGAGAGATGTCGAAGCCGCCACCCAAACCGGTCAAACCAGGTAAGGAAGGTGCTCGCTGGGTCCACTGGCCGCCGCCGTGCCCTGCGCTCAGATCAGGCACGTATCCGGCCCCGAGCCTCGCTTTCGATGCCACCCACCAGGGTGGGAGTTGTTAGCGTTGCTGCGTTCGCTGCAGGGGACGGATCGTTTTGGATGGCAAGAAGATTTTCGAGGAATTTCTAAAATTTGATTTTTAAAGAGTAGTCACCCTCGGTTTTGCAGCATTGTCATTCGCTGCAACTTTCCAGTCGATGTGATGGCTACGTCCCATTGAGATTTCCTGGAAGACAGGGCCATTGATCTCCCTTAGGAGAAAAATTAAATAAATGTCTTGAAATGGTTTTTTAGCTATTTCCTTTTTTTTTTTTTTTTTTTCAGTGTGTGTCGCTGTCAAGTTTGAGTTCTTGACCGGCCAAAGCGAACGGGAAGTGCGCTGCTGGTAGGGTGGGGTGGGTGAATGAGTGTCCGCAAATTGACCTCGAGATCTTGGGAAAAGCTTTTAGAAAGCTGTACTCGAGTTCCTGACTAGAAGAATCTAGGCTGCGGCAGAGTAATCTCAGCTATTACTATTCGGAAGTGTCACTTTATCATGCAGTACAAGTCGTTTGCCTCCGCTCCCTCAGTGAATTAGGCGAGTTAAAGTGGAGAGGGTGAGCTTACTAAGTTCCTCAAGCAGCTTTCTTGGCCGATACTCCTTGTTCATTTTTTATTCGATCCTTGGAATATTTTCTGGGACATGGAGAAAGGAGAATTTTAAAGCGACTGAGGTATTTCTTTCGTGCATTCATTGAGTAGGTAGTTACTGAAAACGTGGGAAATGGAAGAGAAGTGGCTCTTACATACTCAACTTTTTTCTTCCAATCTCATGCAACTTCATTCAGTATAGCACAGGCTGAACTTTATCCATTTACATCAAATTTCGAAGTAACCTTGATTAGGAAGGAGTAATTTCAGTGATTAATTTTTTTCTTGATTTTTCTAAACTTTAGTCAAGCACTTCAACTTTCATGATTATCCAGTTTTCTTCCTTTACCATCATGCAGTGGTAGTTTCAAATCATTTTATTTGAAATTTATGTACATACATATATGACATAGTCATTCACTGAGGACTTAAATTTTGCTGGGCTGGGTGTGACTTTGTTGGGACTTTGGCTCTGCTGTGAGCAATGGTGGAGAAAGGCTAGAAGTGGGCTCTGTGCTTCTTTAGATGTGGAGTCTGATGAGGAATTTGCATTTTAAGTGCGTTTGTAGGAGGCAGCAGCCTTCTAAACTCAGATGTAAATCAGGACCTCAAGTAACCAACAAAGAGTTGTTCTTTGATAGCTAAACAGAGTACATTATTTCAAAGAAGGTCCTGAGAAGCCGTTCATGAGGTTTTTCATCTCTAGACGTTAAGTGATGTCTGTGCTGTAGCAGGAGGGACATCAATGTGATGTGTATGTGTGTGTTTGCCGAGGTGTGGCTTAGGGATCACACGGCCATGGCCCTGAAAGCCCGGAATACTAACCCATAAGGCCACCGAGGAACTCCCTCACAAAGACTTTTTAAAAAGAGACTTTATTCTGAGACTTGAGGTAAAGATGGGCCAAAAGATGTTGAATGAGATTTGGACTAGAATCCTCTCATTTTAAGCACGTTTGATAACCTTCCTCTGTAGTTGGAGCCTGATGTCTGACCTTGACCAATTCTTTTAAGTGGCTTATTGATTTTGGTGATGGAAGTAAAGTGGCATGAATATTTCGCTTGTCTTGGGAAAGTAAGTTAGTGGGACTTTGAAGAAGCATATGTCAGTGTTTTGGGTTCTTTCATATTTACAGTAAAAACATCACAACACTTCAAAGATGTCACACATATGTTGCTTATATAACACCTTTGAGAGGGAAAAGGTTTTCACCTAAAATGATCTGAAGTTTTGTATAATTTTTTCTTCTCTGAATAAATGAATTAGTTAAAGGTGAGATACGGAGTTGCCTCGAGGTGTGCACATGAGTAATTTTCCTTCATAAACTTGATGTTCTGTTAATACCTGATGGCAGAATAAAGTCTGAGAAACATCTTGAAAATTCCAGAATGATGATGATGATTGTAATAGTAATAGTTAACATTTATTTGGCCCTGAGTGTCAGGCACTGTGCCAAGTACTTTGTATGCTCTGTCTCATTTAATTGTTCTAATTTCCCTATGAGGTGGATCCTAATATCCCCATTTTATGGATGAAATAGGACTCAGTGAGGTTAAATAAACTTTGTAAGGTCTCAAAGCTAGCAAGTGGTTGGTTTGGCCTGGGAATGGAACAAAAGCCTTAACTGGAGTCTATGCATTTTGGGCAGAGAAACCTGTGAGGGTTCTATTAGGTTGGACCGGGTTTACTTGGGCAGCCACCTTTATTAACTTATGCAGTTGTATTATTTGCTTTTGCTTTGTATAGCTCCCCTCTTTAATTGGATCTGTATTAGACTATTTGACACTTAAAATTGTTTTTTAATTTTATATTGGAGCATAGCTGATTAACAATATTTGACACTTTTTGAGAGTAGAAGCGTCTCTTGTTTCTTTGTAAGTGCACAGCAACTAAACTTTGTATGTGTGGCAGTTACATAAAAAGTCTTGATACATAATAAAGTCTTTGTCTAGAAGAAAGCAGGGGAGACTGTGATTGGGCATATCTTGTAGCTTCATATTAAATAGCAAAGGCTGGAGGCAGTGTCCATCAACACGACTTCTGGAAGTAGTGGGGTCCCCTCCCTCTTGTGTTTTCAGCATTCCCATGGTTTGACTTCAATGGGACTAAGTGATGAGCTTTCCTGACATGCCTCTGTAAGGGAGAAAAAAACTTTTCCTCTACCCTCTTAGGTTTGATATCTAGTTACTGTGAATTAACTGAATTAAAGTAACAAAAAACCAGATTAACAGGAGGAAAAGGCATACAAGTTGAATTGATGTGTTAAATTTTATGTGTATAAGGGCTATACAGAAAAGAAGTGAAAATCCAAAGAAGTGGTTAGCCTTGGATGTTTATATACCACTTTAACAAAGGGCAACACATTGTAGAGAAGCGACTAAAAGGAAAGAGGTGTTGAACTTCTGGGGGAGTAAATTGTGGGAAGGTAGAGATATGGGGAAACGAATGGAAAATAAGAGTTATTTTAGTAAGGTTTACTTATGCAGACTCATCTCTGTGCCATCTCTATCCCTGGTGATAAGGGTTCTTCTCTGTCTTTAATGGGGGACCTACAGGAGGAGGATACCTTCATGGGGAATTTATGCCTTGCTTTCAGGCAGATGGCGGAGGGCTCAGAGTTCTTCCCGTGTCTGCTTTTCTCAGTTGCCTTCAACTCAAAATAATCCTTATGCCAAAGTGGCATATTTTGGGTTGGCATTTTCTGATCCCCTTTACCTCATACTTCACGTCCAATGAAGACCATCGCCAAATTTGTCCTCACTTGCTTAATGGCCGGGGGAAGCAAAATACATGGGGGTGAGGAGAGGAAGAGAGAGAGGGGGCAGACACACCCTTTCAGTGGGGCTGATGCGAGCTATTAAGTCAAAATTCTCTATTGACTTGTCATTCATACTTCAATAAAGCTGGGGAAAAAAGATTCGCTATCAGATAAATTAAAGGACTTTGGGAAAAGTTTCAGACACCAGTATGGAAAGAGATTTCTGATTCTTACTGCATGGTACTCTATTGTATTTATTTAACCAGACCCGTATTCAAATGTGCTTCGATCGTTTCCACTCTTTTGTTATAACAAATAGCGTTACAACAACCTTGTTGCTTACCTGTGTGAGTATATCCACAGGACGAAGTCCTGGCAGTGGGATTGTTGTGTCAGAGGGTATGTGCATTGCCATATTCACAGACATTTCCAAAATGCTCTCCAAAGAGGTTGTACTAATACACTTTCCTACCAAAATGTGCGAGCACGCCTTACACGGAAAAATTACAACGCACGTGATAGGAGACATTATCAAAGTGTGGTCAGAGGTCTAGGAAGTACAAGGCAAGGAGCTTGAGGAAGCTGAAAAGGTGTCACAGAAGAGGGCAAAATTAAGCAGGGTCTTGAATGCTGAGTAAGAATTTGGTAGGCAGAAAAGAGGGAAAAGTCATTTGACGTGGACAGAAATGAAATAACTTGACATGACGTCCTGCCCACGTTTGATTGACTGCGTAGGAGCTGAGCTTCTCTCACAGAAGCCAGGGGGATTTGGTGTGGAACTGTGAACCAGAGAAATTTGTTCTGAATTAAAGAGAAAGCCGTTTGCCTAGCGTAGCAGGTTGTGGAAAACAGTATCGCTCCACACAGAAAGCAAGCATTTGAACGTCCACATGTGAGCCATCTACTCATGTGCTTATCTGTTTGTTAAGAGTGTTAACAAGAGCGGTGGGTGGTAGTTTGCAGAAATGAGTTAAAGAGGGCCACAGCTTCAACTCACTTACACAAGTCACTGGTGGGACTGCTGAGGCCACCTCCTTTTTATTAGTTCTTGCCAGTTGTTTCCCACTCACTGTTTATCTGTAGAATTTTTAGAAAGTTACAAGGCAAATCCCTCAACTTACTCTCAGGGTAAGAGTTAGGGGAGAGTTTTGTATTTGTATTTGTGCATTTTGTATTTGTGCATTTTGATTAGCATGTTCAACTTGTTAGCATTCCTTAGAATTTGATAAATTACCTTGGTTTTATATTCTTGGAACGAAAGAATGTACTCATTCTTTTCTTTTCTTTTTTTTTGTACCTCCCTGTGGACATGAATTTATTAGAGGAGCCAGGTCAGAGTGGGTACAAGTTGCAGGTTGAGAGGAAGGGGCAGGGGGCATGGGCAGCCCTGCCAGCCTGAAGCCAAGAAGACAGGAGGCCGGAGGGGGCACAGCCAGTAGAGCACTGAGTCAGCAGGCGAGCAGACAGGCTGTTCTTCACCCTCCAAGTGTCAGGGCCGAGGGCAGAGCAGCAGCTTCGAGAGGGTGTGGAGAATGTAGGTGCCTGGCTCCAGTTGCGG